GTTTTTAAACTTAAATTTGAAAGAAATAGCCAAAACCTTCTAAACTTTTTAAATATAATTTTAAAAATACCCCAATAGGTATAGTCTGTGTTGTGGAACTTACTGATAGCTAGTAAAGCTGAAACCAGAAAAATATCTGCCAGCAGTGAGCATGTAATCTCCTTACACTATATTTTAACACAAGAGCCAATTCAAAAGAGGCTAGAAAGCTTCAGGAGGCTATATAAGTGTTCACAACAGAACAGAAACAGCACAATCCTGCTGCTTAATGAGGGAATGACCAGGTCCTCCCCGTAAGGATCAACACTCTGCCTTGAGCCTTTCGCTCTCTCTACTCAAGCTGTTTATTACCTTGTACAGCAAACACTACCTTGGTGTCATTATGCCTGGAGTTCATAATCACCTCTGCGGGATACATTTAATAATCTGGTTTTATTCCTGCAGTCTGTCATCTTCCTCATACTGCTCTTCCCAGAACCCATGGTGAACACAGAACTGGCCAGTTTCCTTTCCTCTTTGCTGGTCGTGATTATAGATTGTAAGATCTGTAATATGAGTTGTAAAACCAGTCCAATAGTCGTTTTCCTTGACTGAATCAGTCCCAGCTCACTTGTAGGCTGACTTCAGCACTTGCTGTCAAACACTTTTTCCCTTCCTCTGTCATTCAGTTAAATCGAGGTGAATTGCTGCATATCTGTTGGGATGGTGGGTCTGCCCCTTTTCCACCAGTGATTCCATTACTGGAATCTCTTCATTCACCCCTTTTGGTGAAACACTTGTCCCTCCTGTGCCCCTTCCCCCGCCCGCCAACACATGCTTACTTCCATACTGCCACACCCAGTGATGGCACACTGCATTCCCATGTAGGCATCCAGCACCTCTCAAGTTAGACAAGAGCTCGACTTCAAGGAGGATCAGAAATCATTGTGCTGCTCTCATGCTGCCCCCTCCTGGCAGATCTGGTTGAAAAAAGCGGGCTTTGTGTTTGATTAGAGCAGTGGTTCTCAGACTTTTGTACTGGGGACCCCTTTCACACAGCGAGCCTCTGAGTGTGACCCCCCCCCTTATAAATTAAAAACACTTTTTTATATATTTAACACCATTATAAATGCTGAAGGCAAAGCAGGGTTTAGGATGGAAGCTGACAGTTCACAGCCTCCCATGTAATAATCTTGTGACCCCCCTGAGGGGTCCCGACTCCCAAAGTTCGAGGAAGTTGCTACAACATGAACTGGAGCCTTAGTCTGCCACAGGAAGAGACTGGAAACTGCTTGTGTGAACCAACAATGTTAAGATCTTGTGCTCACCTTTGAGCTAGTTCTGACTTGGCCTGGCAGACCATGGAGGGGAAGACAGTGTGAAGTGGCTTTCCAATGGATTGAAGAGCATGCTCACCTGCATGCGCTCCATTTCAGTTCCTGTATGCATGTAGTTTGAGGTGGTTCCCAGACAGGGATCTCTTCTGCTTTGGGACAATACAGGGAGTTTCTGCCATGGAGCCCCAAAATGGCTTTCAGCTGCTGCACACATTCCTACATAGGAGTTCATTGTAATCTGTTGGGAGCATCCATGGGCGCTCATGATGCTAATGCCTACCACAGCATGATAGCATTGCAGGCTTAAGAGGCAACCCGCTGGGGCTCAAATAGGGGACATGTCACTAGTCCAGGAAGCTCTGTGCAGAGTGGGGTTAATCTCTATAGCCTCAACATCTGGGGTCAGCTTGTGACCTCCATTTACAGTAATGAAAGAGAGACGACCCAGCACTAGTGGGGGACAGAGGCAAACCTGGGTTTCAAATAAGGGTCACCTGAGAAGCGAGTTTGTGATGGGATGGTAAATACTGACACATGCTCCCAGGGCAAGAGGTGGGTTTGAGGGAACAGCCTAACTCTGTGGACCTCCCTCTATCTTTCCAGATGTTGTCAACGGTGTTGAATATCATCATCTTCGAGGACTGCAGGAATCAGTGGTCCATGTCTCGGCCTCTGCTGGGCTTGATATTGCTCAATGAAAAGGTAGGCAGGATTAAGCTGACTTTAATCAGGAGTGATCCAAGGACTTGAGCCCATCCTGGTATCCTACAAATGAACACGGGGTACTCAGGCAGAGCTGGGGTGTGGGGAGCCAGGACTGGTGTGGCTGTGTGCACTGCAGAGCAGGAGTACAATGCTCTGGCAGGACTGTGGATTGACAAGCTTGCATGCACCATGCTTAATTCTAAGTCCTATGGGCTGCTCATTTTCTCAAGTCCTAGAATCCATCCAAAATACACAATGCGCTGTCTGCCTGCCCTTGCCCAAATGAGATGAGCTGAAGCCAGCATTGATGCTGCCGTTCAGCACTCTCCTCTGAAGGCTGATCTTCCTTCTTTTTTCTCCTCCCAGTATTTCTCTGATTTACGGAACAGTATAGTGAACAGCCAGCCCCCTGAGAAGCAACAGGCGATGCACCTCTGTTTTGAGAACCTCATGGAAGGCATTGAACGCAACCTGCTAACCAAGAATAGAGACAGGTCAGTATGGGAAAAATCCCTTGGCCAAAGAACCTGGTTGATGACCAAGCAGTGCGGCTGACAGCTCCCCACAAAGGGTGGCACTGCACAGTTAGTGAACCTGCTCCATGTGGCAAGGCCCCCAGAACACCATGGGAAATGGCTAGGCTCCGTGGACACATCAGGCTTTTGTGCACAGACAGTGGGGTGATCGTGCCTTGGGCAGTTCTTGCCTCCTGGGGGCCAAGTGCTACATGGCTCATCTTGTGGGAGTAAACTCTTAAATTCCTTGGTGTAACACCAGCTCCCAGGTTCTAAAAACCTGAGCACCTGCCCAGGAGCTATATGGAGCTAAGGTGGGTCAGACACATTGCGTATCTGTTCGAATTGTTCCAAAAGTAGTAACTCAAAGGCAAACTGGCTTCCCAGTGTTGAGGTGAAGGAATAATGGAGCTGTCACTGGCTCCCCTCTCACTCCGGCATGACAGCCTCCTCCATCTCACATGCAGAAAGCAGGGGTGCAGGATCTTAACCTGTGCATCTGCTCAGTGGGATGGGAGTAGGGGCTAAGGGCTGCTGGCCCTTCTCTTATCCCTGGTTCCAACTGGCAGGCAGAAAAGCAGGCCTCTCTGTGTGTGCGCTGCTGATTAGATACTCGTGCATCGTGCCCTGGTGTGGAGGGAATGGCTGGGTAGTTGCAGGTTACATTATCACACTGGCTGATGTGTTCACTGCTCCTCTGCTGCCTTCCCACTATTCACTGAAACCTGCAGGGCCAACACACCGTGACCAGATACCCCTCAGTGGCCAAAATGCAGTCATATAGCCCCAGGCCTTCTGCAGTAGCCTGTAGCTACACTCCTGCTTCATGCATGAGCAGATACTACAGATCCCACCATGCACTGCTCCATCTTTGTCCCAAAATTAGCATTATAGGCTGGGAGTTGGAGCCTCCTGGCTCCAGCTATGTTTTAAAGGGGAGATCAAGTGTCATCTAGTCATTGTAATTGCTGGCCCCCTGCTCTAACATGCTGGTCTGTGTTTTCTGTAGGTTCACTCAGAACCTGTCTGCGTTCCGACGAGAGGTAAATGACTCTATGAAGAACTCCACCTATGGTGTGAACAGCAATGACATGATGAGCTGACACCTTCCCCTGACTCCACCTGTACAGAGCAGCATCTCTTTGGCCTGGACCAGAGGGGTTAACGTTTCCGATGGAAAGATAAGAGGGCGTTTCTGATCCCTACTCTTCCCTAGGGTTGGACTGCAGCGCTGTTTGGCTGTACTCCATGTCCAAGGGAGGAGGGAACAGGAGCAGTGTTAAAGCTCACCAGGGCAGGGTGCTTCTGTTTCCTTGGGAGGGGGTGGAGGGGCATAGCCCAGGGGTGAGAATCCAGCATCTCCCTACCAGAATGTCTGGGTGGAACCCTAGCACTCTGCTGCAGCCTGCCTTGTATAAACATGTACATTTTTTCATAACATTTTGAACAAGGTTTATATTGACTCAGTTTAAAAAAAAAAGTATGATTGAAATTTTTACAGAGTCTAGTGCACCAATGCTGAAGTGAGGGTTGTGTATGTGAGTGAGGAAGGTGTGTCTCATGCTGGCCTGAAGCTTTCTTGGGCAAGGGGGTGTGAAAGTGCAGAGATATATTTAGTGACAAGTGTAGAGAGAAGCAAAAAAAAGTAAAATTCCAAATGTATATTTTTTCTTATAAGCCCCTTTAAATCACAACTTCCTGTTACTGTTTCCCCCTTGTTATTAGGAACTCTAAGCCATGCTGTATGATCATCCAGCTGTGCTAGCCCATGGGTGTCTCCCCTCTACCCTGTGTAACAGATACTGTCCAGTTGTCATTCAGCTTCGGGCCCTTGCCACTCAATGTGTGAGCGCAGCAAGTTCTCCTTTTTTGGATTGGGATGCTTCTTCCCCTACCTATTCCCAGAAGCCCCACTACACTTTTTCCTTTTAATTGTAAATTGTCCTTTTGTTTCCCATTCTGTAAAGCTGGAAGTGCAGGTGGAATAAGAATGCTCTAAAGGTTGAGCTTGTCCATAGTACTTGTAAAAAATCACAGGCCCCAGGGAGCTGCCTTTTTGTTAAGACACAAGGGGCGCTCCCCCTGAGCAAAAGAACTGCAATGTCTTCCCTTGAGGTAGTGCATGTGTATATTTATATATAGTGCACTCCTGAATGTATGACACAGCCAAGAACATAGGATTTGTGTTGAATCTACCACTGTGGTGGTGGGTTCTTAATAACAAGGTCTGCATAGCATGAAGTACCTAACATCCCCCTTAAAACAAATCCATTTTTCTAAATCCCTATATTAAATGTTTTGGATATAAAATTTACTTACAGAAGAAAGTTAAGGGGGGGGGATGGGAAAACCTGTTTGCCTTGTACTTTTCCACTATTGTTGCTGCTAGTTGTGTGCATCTCTAGCTCAGCTCTAACCCCCGGACACTGTCCTTAGGTTTTATTTCAATTTCTCTTCCCTGACACCACCCACTTTTTTTTTTTTGTTCTTTCCTCTGGCGATTGTGTGTTGGGTCCTTTTCTGTGTGAGCAGATTGCTGGTTGACTTGTAAGGGTGTTTGCTGCATACAGTGTAAGCATTGTGACTGCAAATAAACTTCAATGGTTTCTACTGAGCTGTGTCTTTTTAGATCACCACCTCCACTCTCCTGGAAGGGAGAGAATGACTGTCTCCCTGCTAGGGATGGAGGTATTTTAACAGCAAAACTAAATCAATAGATGGCAATCTGCTGATGGAGCAGGGACTTAAACCCCAGGCTGCCACAGCCAAGGTGAGACCAGTAGCCATTATACAACCTTCTGTTGCCAATCCCAGGAGGGGAGTGTTCCACATCAAGTCAACAGTGGGCCTAGTACCTGCTCTTCAATCTGTGAAACCTACCCTTTGTGCCTGAAACTCATTCAGGCACTTGGCTGTCATTAGCTTTAACAACATCTACTAGAGATGAAGGTAAGAGCTCAGTAAAAATTTGTCAGTATTTTATCCTGTAAAATAGTTTGCATTTACATAGTCTCTCCCCAGAGGGAGAGTGTCCAGGATCATTTGCTCTGCTAGATTCTAACACTGCTTTCATGAACTCAGGTCAAATTTAAGACCAGTTACAGCTCTAGCTTTCTACCACCTCCTGTAGCAGGAATTAAGCCATTACAGCACAGTAACATTTATTTACAGGGCGCTTAGTAGTTAACATAGCAGAAATGCTGCCATAAGAGCACCGCAGACAAATTCTCACATTGAAGCCCAAGTCTTGTTTGTTCTTTATCCCCTCCAGCATGAATTCACATGCCTTTCTCCCTCCCCTGCGTAAGAGTCCACTTTATATGAATGCTCCTGGCACCAGGGAATCTTCCTCCTCACCTTTCCTATCCATCTCCATGCATGGCTAGTAAAGTATTTCCATCCCTGTCCTCATGCAGATAGTCCTCTCTCTACAGCAACAGACTTTATTTCTGTGGCATGGCTGTAAACGACATTGTTATAGCCCTCTCTGTTACGGGCTGTTTCAATAGCAAAGAACTGGATCCTGGTGACTGAAACGAAGAAAAAAAATCTGTTTACAGCAGGTTAAGACCTATTTAGCTGACAGACCCCAGCATCTACAAAGCGGTGACTGAAACGAAGAAAAAAAATCTGTTTACAGCAGGTTAAGACCTATTTAGCTGACAGACCCCAGCATCCACAAAGCACAGACTTACTCGAACATAAGCTTTATTCACACCACCCTGCACAGCATTGCCATGTAGGCTGCCCTGGGAGCTAGGATTTCCCAGCTCTACAGCAGGGACTCTGGAAGCACCCAGGCACAGAGCAAGCCTTAATGTCTATACTGCCCAGGTCTGAGAAGAGGAGGGTGTACACAGGTACTTACTTACCAAATATTGTGTTCTCTTCCGTGTAGTCCTTAGTACAGTCCAGACGGAGCAGGGTGCCATAGTTGAAGTCTTCAACTACCCCATCAAACTGCATACAGAAGGGGCGCCATTTCTGGAGAGAGCAAAGATAACTTTCAGCCTTCTTTCTAGAACTGTCCTAGGGAGCTCCACTGTTGGAGCAAGACCATTGGATTAGCTAGAGTGAGCAGAGGCCAGAATCACTGCAGGGTTTCCTAAACATCCTGCCCAAGGTTTCTCCAAGGAGCTGGTGCTCAGGAATAACTTCCACACTTCCTCAATAAGAAAAGGAGGACTTGTGGCACCTTAGAGACTAACATTTATTTGAGCATACGCTTTCGTGAGCTACAGCTCACTTCAGATGCATTCAGTGGAAAATACAATGGGGAGATTTATATACACAAGAGAACATGAAACAATGAATAGCACTGGCTAGGGCTGGATTGTGGGGGGCTTCAGTTTGGGAAAGTCTCTCTGAACAGTGCAATGCCAGCAACCCCAGGTTGGAGCGAGAGATCTATAGGTACAAATCTAGTACACAACAGGGTACTAACAGAGGAGCCTCAGGGTAGCAGGGAGCACTTGTGCAAGAGAATAGCAAGCGTGTTGCTTGCACTACATAGCAGCCAGAGTTTTTCCTCTAATCTCCATTCCCCTTTCACAGCAGCTGGAAAGCACCTTAGCTTTTGTTTTACTCTTGAGTTGAATACCACTATCCAGTTCCCCTCTGGCTAGACAAATGCTCTCCTCTACAGAGAGAGGGACTTCGCCCTCACAACCACTCAGATCCAGAAGCTCACCAATATCATGGACAGTTTGAGTCCCAAAGGGTGACGTTACACATACATATAAAGCACTGACCGCTTTGGCTGGTTCCGATTTGAGCTCCTCTGGGTCAAGCACATCGATCTTGAGGTCACCAAAGCTTTTCCTAAACCCAGCATAGATCTGGTCATCAACTTTTGTAAGTTTCAGGAACTTAGGGTCAACAGAGGAAATAAGCTGTAAGGGAAACAGATTAAATGAGACAAGACAAGCAGCAGGGGGGTGGGTCACTAGAGCATTTATGCTGAATGGGAGGAAAAATATATAGGGCTTTCAAACACAGTGATAACCGAGTTACCACTCCCTCCCTATCCCAAAGCAGGTGCTACCTGCTCTTATAGAGCCAGATTTTAACAAAAGCCCTTTCTCTGACAATCTGGCCTCAGTACAGGGCGCTCTTCCAAAGTCTGGCCCAGAGTGTCTATCACTTACAGCTGACTGTACCCTTCAGGTCTCTGCCCCAGGTAGTCACATCTCTCGGTGGTTCACTTTCTCAGACTGGGCCCTGGGCTGCAGTCCCCCACGTGATTACCTCAGCAGGCCTGACTTAGGGCCAGACCCTGCAATTCTGTTCCCTCCAGGAACAGTGATGTCCAGCAACCAAGCAGCTTTCTTCAAGCAAAGTATTTATTCAGCACAGAAGCATTTCAGAGCAAACTGCTGGGAGCTAAAGCGGGAAGCGCTGCAAATGGTACAAGTGACTTTAAAACAATCAGCAGTCTATATGAATGTTCAGCCTGATGCTGAGACTTACCATCCCCCGGGGCTAGGGAAGGCGCAAGCTTCATCTGACCTGGACCTGTCCATGTTAGAGCTGACCAGCCACTTTCCCCTGCTTTAGGCACTGGCACTGTGATCTGACCCAGTTCTTTGATCACTCCCTTTTTTAAAGAACCCATCACTTTAACCCTTCCCTCCGCGGTGCTCAGCACTACCCAACTTTGGTTTGGAATCTGCCCTGTCATTTCCCCAACCCAGTATTTGTTAGGTTGCTTTCCTCACAGCCCCCTTATTAGATCAATACATTCATAAGGGAAAATCTTACAAGCCAATACATAATCACTTCCCCCTCACTGACCAAGTCACATTCACAAAATTACCATTTCCAGTGCCCACAGAAAAGAGAACTCATTGGCTAGAAGCAAAGTGGCTTCTGGTGTCTACAGCACTCCTTGCTATTCCAGCCCTGGGCTCCCCACACATAGCTGTGCCAAAGCCCCTCGATCCTGACCTTGAGCCCCCTTCTGCTATTTTAGTCCGAGGCCTCTCTCTGGAGAGACTGTGAAATACGCCAGTCAGGTAGTGGCTTATTACAAGGATAATATCCGTGGGTTATTTTTATTAAAAGAAAAAGCCCAAGAAGCATGCTAGTCCCATCTCAGCCCCACTGTCATGTCTATTTATGCTAGAAGACCAGCAATTTCCTGTGGACTTACATTAAAATAGACTTCAGCGTGCTGATACGCTTTCATGGCCCAGATCATTTCAATGTTGGGCTGCAAAGAAAGAGAGAAAAAGCTGTGACATCACCTTACATGCTGACCTGGCTCTGTGTCCAGCACCTTCCCTTACCTAAGCATTTGCAGACAGTTTTTGTAACATAGATAGGGCTTAGGTTTCCCCTATGATTTCCTGTCTATGTTCTTTTCCACTTCCTGTCTCAAACAGGGGAAGGCTTGTTGAGCATATGAAGAAAGCTGCAAGAGTAGCATCAGTCTGAGGAGATACAATTCGAGGGCTGCTTTTATGCTAAAGCGCCTTATCAACTTAAGATGCAATTCAAACTATACATCAATTACACTTTCTCACCACTGAAATGCAACCATGGAACTAGGGTGACCAGAGAGCAAATGTTAAAAATCGGGACAGGGGATGAGGGGTAATAGGAGCCTATATAAGAAAAAGACCCCAAAATCGGGACATCTAGTCACCCTACATGGAACATGGAAGTACGGTAGTTGTACAGGATTGCCAAACAGACAGGAAGTGGAAAAGAACACAGACAAATGAAACCATAGGGGAAACCTAAGCCCTATCTACATGACAAAAATCGAATGTTTACATGTTTCAGCGCACATCATGTCTGAACATGTTTTTCCCCCCTTGCCTACAGGGACAACGTTATAACTGGGTTAGAGAACAATGTTATAAGCAGACACACCTAGGCTAGAACATATTTCCCTAACATGGGTAGCAGTTTTTTCTTGTCCACCCAGGCAAGAATAAGCTACTTTATACCAGGTTTTAGCCATCTCCATGTTTCACAACCATATTTCAACATGATTAAATTTGTAGTGGAGGCAGACTGTAGTTATTCATGTTAGAGTTTAGATGGGACAAATACAACAGGGGGATGGGATCTGGTGGGAATACAGCACTGGTGAGAAGTGCCCATTTGACAGCTTTGGAGACTGAAATACTGTGCATATCCAAATGGGCACTGACAGGGCAAGCGTCCCCCTGTCTACCCACCAAACACACTGCCAAGCTATGGGATCTTTAGCAATCACAAGTGATTCTTTGTATTCATTTGAGATAACATCAAACACAAGGACTGGGAAGTTTAAAAAACCCGGAGTACACACTTTCAGGCAACAGCTTGGAACAACTCGGAGCTCAAATATCCCTGAGGTCTCAGTTTCATGATGTAACTACTACACATCAATGAACGTAGAACTAAGTGCTGCTCCTATTCAACATCTTTCTTGGCCCTGCAGAAAGACGGCCCTATTGGCCCCTCACCAATGCTCTCTCTGGGGATACTCACATCATTGCCATAGGCTTCAGCTGGCGGGGACAATGCATGGGCTGCTGCCACAGCTTCACCGGCTCCCTGCACGTGAAACAAAGAGAGATGGCTGCTGTTAGAGCCACAACTGGAACCACACAAAGAAATAAAGAGAACGTGGGGTGGGTTTAAGTTGTATTGAAACAAATAAGCACAACCAAATGGCAAATTTGTATCCCGAAGGAGTCAAACAAGCATCATCAGGGTGCAGAAGACTGTACAGAATCCTTGCTCTGAAGAGTTTATAATTCACAAAGGAGGGGAAAGGGCGTAACATAAAAGCAAAGGACAGTTGTACAGGGCATGCACTCCTTTTACTCCTCACTGCAAAGAGCAGTCCCCGTCCCCCGAGACCCACACATACGTGCAAAGCTAGTCTATGCCTGGGTGACGTCCAGAGGGAGGGGGGCAGATAGAGGTACACATTTTGCTCTCCCTTCTAGTGCCTGAGGGGTTAATGGGCACTGTGGGGCTCAGCCCCAGTTAGACACAATGAAAATTCACCTACAGAGCAAATTTCTGCCTTTGGAAGGCAGCAAACAGGCATGTGACATAAGGACAGCGCCCGAGGAGACAACTCCCCCCTCGGTGCTCCTGTGAGGCATCAAACTCCCCGTTCTGCCCTTCAAAGGTTCTATCCCCCCATAAAGCCTTTGTTTCACCATGAACCCTACTTACAAGGGCTCTGCAGCCCCATGCACACCCACAACCAGGACTGTGTGCCCCCCCTTTCAAGGGCTTCATAATCACCAGGACTCTAAATCCACCCCCAGGGCTTCTCCCCCACTTGGCATCTGCAACCCGCCCCCTCCTCACACACACACTTTAAACTTCCCCTCCCCCCCGGAGCTCGACCCTCCGCATCATCGAACCAGACACCCCCCCCGGAGCTCGACCCCCCATCAAACCTGCCCCGGGAGCTCGACTCCCCCCCCCCATCAGCAAACCTTCCCCCCCCCCCGGAGCTCGACTCCCCCCCCCCATCAGCAAACCTTCCCCCTCCCCCCCCGGAGCTCGACTCCCCCCCCCTTCAGCAAACCTTCCCCCTCCCCCCCGGAGCTCGACCCCCCATCAAACCTGCCCCGGGAGCTCGACTCCCCCCCATCAGCAAACCTTCCCCCCCCCCCCCCCCCCCCCACCCCCCCCCCCCCCCCCGGAGCTCGACTCCCCCCCATCAGCAAACCTTCCCCCTTCCCCCCCGGAGCTCGACTCCCCCCCATCAGCAAACCTTCCCCCTCCCCCCGGAGCTCGACTCCCCCCCATCAGCAAACCTTCCCCCTCCCCCCCCCCGGAGCTCGACTCCCCCCTTCAGCAAACCTTCCCCCTCCCCCCCGGAGCTCGACCCCCCCCCATCAGCAAACCTTCCCCCTCCCCCCCCGGAGCTCGACCTCCCCCCCCATCAGCAAACCTTCCCCCTCCCCCCCCCCGGAGCTCGACTCCCCCCCCATCAGCAAACCTTCCCCCTCCCCCTCCCCCCCCCCGGAGCTCGACTCCCCCCCCCATCAGCAAACCTTCCCCCCCCCCCCCCCCCGGAGCTCGACTCCCCCCCATCAGCAAACCTTCCCCCTCCCCCCCCGGAGCTCGACTCCCCCCATCAGCAAACCTTCCCCCTCCCCCCCCGGAGCTCTCGCTTCTCCTCACCCGGGCTCCCAGGCGGGCCCCTGCAGCGGCCATGCTGCCTGTGACCTCTGACCCTCCATCGTCCCCCTTCCGCCCCCAGCGGAAGCTGCCCGGCCAGGGTAGTCACTGAGCATGCGCACAGCCGCTCTCGGAGGCGTGGAAGCGTGGCGGGAAGGGCGCATGCGCAGGAGGGGTCGTGCCTGACGCGCTTCTCGCTGGGCAGATGCCTGCGTGGTATTGCGGCGCCCCCTGGCTCCCCCTGGCGGCAGCTCCGGCGCATCACAGCCTGGGGCCCCCAGCCCTGTCTCGAGGACCCCAAGGTCCCAGTCCTGCCCACATCCCAGGAACTTCCCCCGAGGACACCAGGGTCCCTCTCCCACCTTAATAAGAATAATAGCACCCAGCTGGTGGGGAGCATTTTCCAGCAGTCAGGCTCAGCGCACTTTACAAAGGAGGGCGGTCCCATTATCCCCATATAACAGATAGGGAAACTGAGGCAAAGAGCTGAGAAATGGACTGGCCCAAAGTTACCCAGCAGCAGAGGCTGGTTTAGAACTTGTCTCTCTTAAATCCTAAGCCAGTGCACTAGCCACAGCACCTCTTCAAACCTACCTTGCCCTCTATCCCCGTACTTCTGATCCCCAAACACTGGCCTGTACCAGGTGGGCTACACCTGACTCTCAGTACTTGCAGTTGTATTAATTGCAATTGCTTCCTTTGACTTGCAGAAGGCAATCACGCACCCGTGAGCAGGGTTCTCTCAGACACACATACCGGTAAATTACAAAGCCGGTATTTCTTCCCTAATGTGGCTGGGCCTTTTGCAAAGTACAGGGCCATTTGCTGTCAAAATTCAGGCCCAAATGCCACAGTCTTCTCCATTTTTATGGGAGAAGAATATTCCCTTATGTTGAAATGTCTAACCCACCCACTCTGCTGCTGAGAACTAACCAAAAGGAAGCATAGCAAAGAATCCCCACAGCAGGGCTTAATTTGTGCCAGTCCATGCCAAGGCTGAGCCCCGGCACCTCTAAACCTTGGTAGTTCGTAGCCCTGGTACCTCGGCTTGCCGCATCAGTTATGAAAGAAAAAAAAATTGCTTAAGCTCCAGCATCTCTTTCATTACAAATTAAGCACTGCCCAACAGCCATTGTTTTTGTGAGACCTACAAAAATCAAGTATGTCATAATTCCCATGCAATCTCTGTAACCACACTATACAAAGCTATGCTGGTTCTGTACAATCAATTTCCATACCAAGCCCTATTCCTAGGCAGGGTGACCATATGTCCTGTTTTGGCTGGGACAGTCCCCTTTTTAAGCCCTGTTCTAGGCGTCCCCCATAGGAGGGCGTGGAAGAACATTCAGGGGAGTCTTGGGAGAGCGGCACCATGGTGGGGTCCCCTGGGGCCAGCCCCGTGTGGAGGTGGAGGGAGAAGGGGATGGGGAGTCACTCAGGCCAGCCAGTCACATTTCACTTGGGGAAATATAGTCACCCTATTCCTAGGGCTTTGCTCAGTTCAACAGTGTAGCTCCCATAAGGTGCTGTTTTGACCAAACTCTTGGACACAATTATTATTATTACTATGTGCTGTTTGGTGCCATTCAATAAAAATAAAAACAGCCCCTGACTCAGTGAGTTTACAATCTCAGTATTATTGTTACCTGTTAGTGGTTTTACAGGGGGGCTTAGGGGCTCCAAACCCAGATCATTATGCTTGCAGCTGTATACATACATTGTATGAACCAGCTCCTGCCCCGAAGAGCTCAAAGTCCAAATAAACACAACAGACAACTGGTAGGAGAGACAAAAAGTGACTTACCTAAACTCACACAGCACCACAGTCAGGATTAGAACTCAAGTCTTCTAGTCCAACATCATAACAAGTGAACTACAAAGGTTACACCGCTGCAAACAGCCTAGAGTCCCTCCGACTTCGGCATAGCTGATTCTGGGCTCATTTTCTAAATGAGGAAAGAAGTGACTTACTGGCCTGGATCTTGCAACCTTCTCCACACAAACAGACTCTCGCTCATATGAAGATCAGCTGACAGAACTGAGGCCTTGACTGATTTCTATACATTCCCTTCTTGTGGGAGACCTGGGATTTTGATCAGTGGGTTTCTTTCGCTCATTAGTATCTGTGACGTATTTGCAACATGAAAAGTGCTGTGGACATGCTAGATGCTAATGACCAAGATTTGATTTCCACAGTTGCATTCGGCCAACTTTCTTTGGAGGGAAAGGGCTGTTCCTCCTTAAGGCCACGTTTCAGCTTCTAGCAACAAGACTGAGGCTGATTGGGTGAAGTATTGACCCCACTCACCTGATCTGACTTTATAAGCGGCTTGAGGGGGCAGGGTCTCTGTTTGCAGGGGGTGTTAGCGACAGTCCCTTTAGCAGACTATTTTATGTTGTGTGAGTGAGGTGGTGCTCGGTAAGTGAGTTATCAAATACAAATGTTAGCAAACACTTACTTTTCCTGTAAAGCTTCCTCTGGCAGTTAGCAAGGTCTATGTCCTTGGGAGAGATGTAACCTGAGGGTACTGTATTGTGTGTCCTAAATGTCTCCTGGAAGGCAGAGATTTGCTGTCCTCGTATGTGTGGCTAGTGCTCAGGATGTCATGGTAGGATTGCTGTAGGAACTCAAAGGGATTAGGCTTACAACACTGTGATGTTTGGAGAGGGTATCCCCTAGCAATAACCAGGGACACAACAGTGATGCTATGAAACTGTATCTTGCCAGTGCTGGGGGAAAGCAGGGCTCTGATTTCATTGGACCAGCAGAGTAACTCCCTCTTAGCAAGCAATGAAAGAGATGAGTATCTTGCTATATCTCAGTGGCTGTGATAAATGCGGGCCAGGGTGAGCAGTCTTGTTGAAGTCAATAGCAATGCTCTTGACGTTAAGGATCTGACTTCTCGGGCTGCTGAGGAGCACCCTCAACTCTGCTTGAAAGTCATCTGCTCTATAGTTGCTTGGCACCACTTACAATCAGACCCTGCGTGTTTGGGATTGGACCCTTTGTTGCTCTTGTTTTACTCTGCTAATAAACAATGGCTACTACAGTTTGTTGTGATCCTGCCGCAAAGAATTGCTGGTGCCCTGGCTAAACGCCAATGTGTTTAAGTGTCCAGTTCTGGTGTTAAAAAGGTGCATACAGAGATTTTACTCAATTTAATAAAATCACTAGAAATGACATGGGTGTAATGATACTCACTCTGTAATATGGTAACACCCTGTTAAACAGAGATCTGGTGATTCTATCCTTGGATTATGTCTCTCTAAACAAAAGTTCACTTTTACAATGATTGTTTTTGTTTCTGATAGTTACCTGGCAAGGATTTGTAAACTTTTTTAAACTTCCAAAATAAATGGGGGGAGGGGTTGTTGGAAAAACTAGAAATGGTGCAGAAAAGAGCCATACTGATCTGAGGGCTGGAAAATGTCTCTTGTGCTCTTTGAGTCTCTCAATCTCTTTAGTTTATCAAAATGAAGATTGAGCGGTAACTTGATTAGTGTTTAAGTAATGTCATGGGGAGAAAATACGAGGTCCTCAGAGTCTATAATCCTGTGGAGAAAGGCATAACAAGACCCAATCACTGGAAGCTGAAGCCAGAAAAATTCCGGTTGGAAACAAGGCACAAATGAACAGTGAGGGTATTTACCATTGGGAAAAACTGTGATGGGAATGGTATATTCTTCAGATCCAGACAGAATTTAGTCAAACCCAAATTATTGAGTTCAATACTGGGGTAACTGGGTAAAAACTGAATGGCCTGTATGATACAGACTAAATGGTCAGACTAAAAGATCTAATGTTTCTTTCTGGCCTAAACTCTGTGGAAAACTTAAATCCTATATCAGTGGGGCTGTTGCAAAGTTTTCTAGCTTAGTAAAGACTACACTCTGAGTAATGTCTTCTTCCTTCCCAGCAAAGCAAATCCTAGGAACCATGGCTCTTAACAGTAGTGCCAACAGCAACAGTAAATCTGAGAAGCCAGTGTCTCTAATCTGGGGTAAGAACCTGTCTCTCATGACTGTTACTGAGAACATAATTGCTGTGTATACTGTGACTAAGAGCCATGAATGCAGCTGAAATACGTTTCCATTGACTTGTCCTGCCTCCCATCTGCTTGTTCGTGTGTCCACCTGTTGCATCTTGTTGCCTAGACCAGTGGTTCTCAACCAGGGGTATACGCGGAGGTCTTCCAGGTGGTACATCAACTCATCTAGATATTTGGCTGGTTTTACAACAGGCTTCGTAGAAAACACTAGCAAAGTCCATACAAACTAAAATATCATACAGACAATGACTTTATACTATTCTATATACTATACACTGCAATGTAAGTACAATATTTAATTCCAATCAATTTATGTTTAATTATATGGTAAAAATGAGAAAGTCAGCAATTTCTCAGTACTAGTGTGCTGGGATACTTTTGTATTGTTACGTTTGATTTTGTAAGCAAGTAGTTTTTAAGTGAGGTGAAACTTAGGGTAGACAAAACAAAGCAAAGGCTTGAAAGGGGTACAGTAGTCTGGAAAGGTTGAGAACCACTGGTCTAGACTACAAACACAGGAGGTATCTGGAGAGCGTGCTCCTCTGGAGATGAGGATGTGCTTAGCTTGTTGTGGTCATCAGGACAGCCATCTGCCTGAAAATCATCTCCATACCGTCTCCTCTTTAATCTCTGAGTTGAGCAGTCAAATTACTTCGTACCGCCTTAAACAGCCATCCAATTCTCCTTCTCCCACCATAATCTCTTAGGAAGTGAACTCTTCCCCTGCGTCTTACGCATCTCTTGGCTCCAGTTGGTCAATACCTGTGGCTGCTCCCTGGGACAGTGTTCTGGCTCTAATATCAACCTGCCTGACAGGAGCAAGAAGCAGAGGGATGCTTTGGGGAGCCAAACTCCTGCCTCTAGTTTGGGGCACTTACGTATTAGCGGCTTCTCTCCTGTCTCTTCTCCTACCCCTTACCAAAAAGGAGGTGGGGTGGAAGCACCGTCTCCGACACTTCCGCCTAGATATGACTCAGCCCTATCTCCGCTGAGAATGGGGCGGGCGGTGGGCGGAGCGGACCTGATGGGACCTCTGCCTTCACAGGATGTGA